CCCTGTCCTTGTCACAAAACACTTCTGTTGAGGCTCCTTAAGTCATCACTTAAATCAGGAGAGATGACCAAGGTGCCGTATCTGTCTCCTGTGGCAATGTGTGCCACCTGAGACAGGAGTTCCATTTCATTCATTCATTCATTCATTCATTCATTCATTCACATTGGGCTGGAAGAGGGCTCAGCAGTTAAGAACACTCGCTGTTCTTTCAGAGTACTGGAGTTCAATTTCCATTGCTATATTCCTTTACAGCTCAGAATGGCCTGAAAATCTAAGGGCAGGGAGTTCAACATCCTACTCTGGTCTGTTTCCTATTTCTGTTTTGAACGAGAAAAAAGAAATTCTGTAAACACATCCAGCTTTCCCCAGCTCCTTCCTGAGTTCATTTGGCAGTACTTGGACTTCCTCACACAGGTATCTTGCTGAGAACTCTATGCCATCTGTTCAGGTAAGGATATGAGCCAGAACAGAAGCTATGCTTTGATGTGCACTAGCTGATAGCTACTGCAGCTTCAGTGCACGACTATCACCACCATAAAATGTTCTCCAGCCTACAGAACCAGAACACAAAAATCCCTCAAATTTTATGATTTATCCACACATCACTAGTCTAACAATACCCTCCACAGAAGCTTATTTTACCTTCTTCTTACCAAGAGTCTCCATTGCAAACTTCTAGCCATCAAGTAGGGAAACAGCAAAAGCTAACCCATAAGTATCTGTCAGCACTTGTGGTGCAACATGTGTAGCATGAAATTTTGATTTCCTCTTTCATTCAATTCCTCTAACGTATTAAAAGATACTCAAAATTTTCACTATATCAGAGGAGAGGACTTCTGCTTAGGAATCCTATTTCTTTGGGCTTTACAGCATGACTTCTCCTCTCCACAGGCAACACTTATTGCCGGATTATTGCTATTGGATGTAGTCATGGAAATATCACCCATTTATTGTGTGAATGTTCTCCTGAGCTCACCTCAAATCTGCCTTCCCTGGGATAGCCCAACCATCCCAACATCATTCCCCATTACACACAACTTGTCACCTCTAGCTCAGGTCACGATGTTGTTCATCATTTTAGGGATGTGTTCTCCTTCCAGACACCTACCTGCATGAGAACAAGAAGAATGCCTTGTATTGTCTGTCTTTTGAACACATAGCCCAAAGATCATATATCATAAAGACAATGAACACTTGATCTCATCTCAAAATGTCTTACTCCTCCCTACCATTTCCCAAGGTTTCCATATAGAGATCTGTATTGTCAGTTAGGGGTCAGCATGAATGGATAATTGAATCCCAAGGAAACAATCTGAAGTCACAGGGAGTTAGATTTCTAAACAGTAAACCAATCATATGGACCATTTCAACAAGAAACAGATAACTGTAAAACTGTCATAGGTGCACTTACAAAGCTCTCTGGATACAAGAAGTTCTACATCCAAGGCCCCGGACTAGGGACAAGAAACATTCTCAAATGACTATGTTGAAAATTTTTCAAAATGTAAATGATTAGCTATGATTTCTACTCAGATTCTCACTGCACCTCATTTCCCCTCTAGACTGACTCCAGGCTTTTGTGAACTCTGCCATGAGAGAAATTGGATGGGGTTGTGTTTCTGAAATATACTCTGTGTGGCTTTGAGCCCTTTCATATACACATAAAGTATTGCTGTGTGAAAGAATGGCTCCCACAGAAAAGGAACAACCCATCCCAACACTGTGACATGAAGGGGGTCAGATCAGATATCAAAGTCATATTAATACATACTCCAGTTCTCAGTACGCCAAGCAGAAAACTGGAGTAAGAAGAGCTAGTCTATGTAGAATTTCCAAGCCATCAGCCATGTAAAATGTAAATACAAAACTGGCTTTTCAATAATGCTCAGTCGACTGAAAGTCCTCTCTGGGAAGGATTTTCATCCACTATTACAACATCAATATTTATAAAGAAAACATTCATTTTTCTCTTATTCATCAGAATCTCACAAAATTATTATTCCAAATTTTTACATTTATAAGGCACAAAATCATAAGAATTCTACAAGAAGTAAGTTTGTAATAACTAAAACATGAAATGAATTGTGTGGCAACTCCCCACTAAGATGGTAATTAAACTAAAAATCAGTGTAACGTTTTATAAATAAGAGTTTGAGTAGCTGATATTCACTAGACTATATAAAACTGTCTTCACTTTCCATGGAGACGATAATATTCTAAACCTGCTTCTGAAAAGAGGTGATTAAAGAATATACAATCAGAAATTAATGGAAAGGTGTTATGGAGGCATATTGGGTAGTTGAAATACCACTTTCTGGATATTTCCATAGTTTTAATATTTGAGAGGCTCTTTCCTCTTCTTTCCTCTCCTCCTCCTCCTCCTCCTCTTCTTTCTTCTTCCTCTCTGTATCTCTTTATCTCTGTCTGTCTCTCTTGGTATGTGTGAGGATGTGTGTGTGTGTGTGTGTGTGTGTGTGTGTGTGTGTATAGAGGTAGTTCAGAAGACCCCCTCAGGAGTTGATCCTCATCATCCATTTTGAGACAAAGTCTGTTGTTTCAACTCTAGCTGTACCATGATTCTGGGGATTCTTCTTATTAATCTTTTTCTTAAAACAATTACAAATTATCCCCTGATAGTGTAGTGTATATATGTATATATGTATGTATGCATGTATATGTGTATATTGTATATATTAGACTCTAAAAATCCCGACGTGATAGCCTACCACAATACAGAAAGGAAAATATTCCATGCCAAATATAAACAGGAAATTGACATATATCAGCAAAATTTCATATCGCAGCTCACAGTGCCTGAAGGAGTTTGTCCCTCTATAACAGAAGCCTGTATTGGAGGTCAGATAATCGCTATCCTAAATGGCTTTCATTGGTCTCTGTTGTGTCTTTTCCTACTGCGATACTCAATAATGAGAGTTTTGTGATGTCCGGGGACAAAGTAATGGCCTTTTAAAAGGTGAGTGGAGAATCATTGCAATAGTTCAATGTCCGCAGTGCTGACTTTGTGGTATGAAAACCCTGCACGCTAATGGATATTGAGCCAATTTTTCCAAGGTCAAAATTCCAATTACTATGTGACTCTTCAAATGGTTCTAGATCCTGAACCATTTCTAACTTCCATTTACTCTGCTTGCATTGCATTATCTGCAAAGGGACGCAGGCCCCATGGCTCCCAATTTTCCTGGCAGAGTGTCCTGAGGAAACAGCTTGAATCAAAATGAAGGAGCGTCTCACAACCTTCTCTCTCTCTAATACACATCAAGCTGCCTCAACAAGTACCTACTGTGGTACCATGGTACAACAAGTACCACAGGATGCAGTTATGTCAGCCCAAGAGGCTTGGAGAAGTCTCTCACGTGGCAGCAGAACTGTAGTCATCTACTGTACGCTCCAGCAGAATATTAACCATACTAGCTAGGATCTAAAGCTTTCACTTATGGGCTATTCTTGTTTGTTGCTGCTGCTGTCATCTTAATCTAAAAAATGAAAGAGTTGATTCAGAGATCCCCTGGCCTTGTACAAATCAATTGAAATCAGAAGGCTCCACGTATCTTCAGGGATCTAGTAAAGTCATCCATATTATTAACATGCTGATGATGTGTTGTTGCAAAAATTATTTAATCCCGACCCGGGGTTTCCACCCTGCCTTATACCATTTAGCTCCTGGATTAAAGACATACACAACCTTTATATTTTCAATAAGCCTTAATTGGCACTAGAGCTGTGCCTCTATCCACTTTCCTATTAATAATCTCTAATTATTACTCACTACGTTTCATCTGGGCTGCCCATAACTCCATCTGGTGAGCCCTCAGGGGCACATATTTATGATTCACTTAACCCATGGTGGCTTCTCCTTCATTCTCCACGTTCTTCTCATGGTTCCTCTCCAACACCAAGCCCAGGGAACCTAAACCCCACCCAAGTCTCTTCTGCCCAGCTATTAACTGTTGACATCTTTAGTTACCAATCAGAAATAACTTGGAGCAAAGGCACACAGTGTCACTTTGTTCTATGAGCAGATTCTCTGGTATCTGGGACAACCAGGTCTTGGGGCCCAATACTACTAGTATTCGATACAAACAGCAGCAGGCCAACCCACTACAGTGATGTTCTGTATTTTACATATTCAAATATTCAAAGCAAGTCGCTAAGAAGAATCTGAACAAATATAAGACCTCATTCATTTCTTCTCATTTAATATAACCATTCCATGATTTTGTTGCACACACTTCTTTTTCTCCCAGCCTGGGCTACAGTTGGATCTTTCCTCTGTTACATTAGGCATCACCTAATCCATGCTGAACAGTCTTGCTAGCTTCTATGAACCTATCAAACCTCCTTGAAATTGTTCCTTAATCCTCCCTCCAACCCTATTTTATTGCTCATAGTATTTATCTATCTGTATGATATGTTTGAAGCTTAAAATTTAAGTTGGAACATGTCATTTCATTGTTGCTTGAAAATAATATTTAACAAAGTACCCATTATTTTTAAACTAACCGATTTTCTCATCTATCTAAGAGGAACAACTGAGGACAGACTTTTATAAAACTAGAAAAATTAAAAATAAACTCAAGCACCCAGGCAAACAGAAACCTTTAAGGCAGACATTATTAGGAGAAATGGAAAAATATCCTCATGATAATAAGCAGGGTCCCAAGGCATTACAAGTCTCTTTAATTTGTTTCTTTTATTTTCTTTTCTACGTCCTGAGATTTGATATAATATAAACCTGAAGATTTTTCTATGACTTGAGCATAGGCCTATGAAAGCAGAAGGACATTTGCCATGATCGTTGGGACATGTGAGGAGGAGGCTGGAAATTCTGGTAGAGGCCCAAACTGAAGTGATGATCTCTATATGAAGCTATATAAACTGCCTAAGACTTTAAAACTATTTCTGTGACTATTTTTCAGGGTTTTCTTCTAACAGGATGGATAGATTTCTCACACAATTGAGTGTTTTGTTTTCTCTTTCAGGTCTGCTTTGTGAACCTGGATGTCAACAAGGATGCCTGCAGCACAGAAAACCTGCAACAGGTAACAGCTGGACCTGGAGCTCTCCAGAAGATTGTGACAATGGGTAGACTCTGTCTATGGTGGTCTTCTTAGAAGGATGGATGACATCATCACTGCTCTTTTCTCTGACCTTGCCCTACAGCTTTTCATGCTGTTAGTCCATGATGTGTTTGAAAATCACATCAGAACTGCAGAACTGTTCAGAAAGGCATCCCCCCTCATCCGTCAGCATCCTAACATGGTCCTTCCTTCCTATTCATACCATAATCTGGTATGCCTTTTCCAAGGTATATTATAGCCAAGTGAAGGCAGCCAGCCCTTTCCTCTGGCCCTTGGTATTACTCTTTCCATTTGTTTTATCAAATCTCATCTCAGCTGTGTCTCTGTTGTCTTACCCTTATCATGGGCTTGAACATTCTGCACCACATAAGAGCCAACTTCCACCCATCTCATCTGAGGTTGATCTCTGGTGTAAATGCTTGACTGCATTAAGCAGCTGAATGTCTGTTCAGTTCTTAAAAAGCTGGTAGATGCTGGGCATTC